GTCTGAATTTATATGTATTTCAAACAATTGTTTTGAAAGTAAAGATGAATAAAAAAAATTATAATTAGCAACATTTGAATTTAGGCAAAGCTAAAACCTAGTTTAATCTTTATTTTTGTAACATATAACATTGGATCTGTTTAGATAGCTCTGAGACATATTTATTTTGAAATTAAAAGTTTTAAATCAGACTCATTTGTAGTATTACACATATAGAGTATTTGTAAATAAAGTAAAAATGGCTATTTTTCCATTTATAATTCATATAACCTAGTAATGATAAATCAAGCCAACAGAATTGTATTGTGCTTTTGTTGATTAAGGAGGGAGCTCAGGGTAAAGAAATACACAGTGCTACTTTGAGTTTTTAAAACTGTAATAAGTAGCAACACTACAACTCTGTAAACCTTTCCTTCAAAACTAGAAACTGTAAATGAAATTCTAAGAAAAGATGCAAAAATTGAATGTTTAATAAGGATTATTTGGCATTATATTTAAATAAAGTACATTCTAACCAACATAAAACAAATCAATACCAAAGAGACATAATAATATAAAATGTCACCGCTTTCCATTTAAACTCTAAATTGCTTTTATACCAGATTCTGAGCAATATGCTGCTGCCAGCACCTTCAAAAATTGGAACATCTTACAATTGCTATTAGTTATTCTGGTGGATTGCATCACCTTGTATAAAGTTTCCAAAAATGATTCCTTAAAACAGCATACATAAATTATTTAGGAACCAGCTCTTTCTCCATCTGTTAGTATAATTTTTGGACTATGCTAGTGTTTTGGGGGGGGGAATTCATGAACCTGGTTAAGATATTGATTACTAAATCCTTTATTCTCTAGTTCTTTTATTGTTATTTGTCCCCCCTCCATCCGCACCAGTCCTATTCTCTACTTCTCAATTTACTAGAATGTTTTAATTCATCACAATGTAAAAGAGCTTCATCCTTGATGACAAAAGAATGGGCACAGAAAGACTTATACACAGCCTGACAAAAGAACAGTGCCAGAAAGATTTCAAGAGTGGTATAGAGATTAAAGAGATTCACTTTGGAAGAAAGTTTGACTTTTCAGTTGACATAACAACAATTAGTTGAGGGCTACAATGTAATATCTTAATCATGATTACTTTTATTTATATCATGCACCACAATCTGGAAAGCCCTCTCAATAGGAGCAAGACATGGCCAGTGTGCTATGCTGATTAATGGGTTTTCAAGCAGACTGACTGGGGCTAGAAACCTCACTCTGTCACTTAGTTAACTCTGCAACTTGGGGCAAGATGTTTTAATCTCTCTCTGTTACTCCTTCTCACTAAAGTGAGACTAACAATGGTATCTATCTTAAAGTGACATTGAGAGAACTAAATGAGTAAATATATGGAAAGTGCTTAAAATGGTACTGGACACACAGTAAGCTCAACAAATATTAACTGCTAGGCCGGGCGTGGTGTATCACGCCTGTAATCCTAGCACTCCGGGAGGCCAAGGCAGGCTCGAGGTCAGGAGTTCCAAACCAGCCTGAGCAAGAGTGAGACCCCGTCTCTAATATAAATAGAAAGAAATTAATTGGCCAACTAATATATATAGAAAAAATTAGCCGGGCATGGTGGTGCATGCCTGTAGTCCCAGCTACTCGGGAGGCTGAGGCAGCAGGATCGACTGAGCCCAGGAGTTCAAGGTTGCTATGAGCTAGGCTGACGCCACGGCACTCACTCTAGCCTGGGCAACAAAGGGAGACTCTGTCTAAAAAAAAAAAAAAGAAATATTAACTGATAATTATTATATATTAAAAGTAAAGTATTTAGAAGAGTCTTTAAGAAGAAAGTGCTGACCCTGAAACTCAAGGCGTTTGACTACAAGTTCCATGCTTTTTATGGTACACAGGGTGGTGGCTGCTGCTATGTGGGAGGAGCTGTGGGACATGGGAGCCCTGACAACATGTTCCTGCCAGCTCAGGTGTAAGTCTTAAAACAAAGGTCAACAAAATCTCACTGGCTTTTATTTCACATGTTAACATGGGTTTCTCTAAAGTACAATTATTTTGACATGACCCATTTAGCCTCTGGTATATAGCTTCTAACATGTCACTTCAAACTCCTTCATGTAATTCTTAAGGAGTTGATGGTATTTGGATAGGTAATTCTTTTCATGTTCTTCAATGAAAAGTGTCAACATTTTGTGATAAGTAATCTCTGATAAAACACAAAAACAGCACTGTGACTTGGGATGAGTATATATCCCATTTGAGCTAAAGGTATCATAGTGACAAGTCCTAAACCTTAACATTTATGCTAAATTTCTCCTACAAAGCAAAAAATGTACAAGGTAACATACTTAAGACTTTGACTAGAGTACGTCTGTTTTTACAAAATCTTCCATTTTTATTTTCTTTTCTGATATTTGAAATTGCAAGCATCCTATGGACAGCCTTAATGTAATTCTACATGCAAAGGAAACTACTTAAGTTACTGAGAGAAGTCCAAATCATATCTATTTGTCAGAAGTCCAGTTCAAACCTCCCAAAGCCTATGCTAATTCCTTGCTAGATTGAGATCTCACCTTTGACTTTTCATACCACTTTGTTTATATTCCTTTTATGGCAGGTATTATTATTTGCAAGCACGTCTTACTATCTTTAAAATAAATCTGGACTCCAACTGCTATTAATCATCTACACTGCTACCACTCTGGTCCAAAACACTGTTGTCTTTTGCTTGGATTGTTGCAACATCCTTGTAACTAACTGTTCTTGCTGTTTTCACCTTTGGCCCTTTCACCCTCACACCAGCCTATTCTCAACACAGCAGTTAGCATAAACCTATAAAAATTTGGGCCAGATTATGTCACTTTTCTCCTCAAACCCATCTCATCCAGAGTAAAAGCCAAAGTCCTTAGAACAGCCTATAAGGCCCTATAGAACCTGCTCCCTCTCCAATCCCCCACTGAGCTTCTTCTCTTTCCTTCACTCCCTCCTGATGTTCCTTGAACTCACCAAGCATCCTCCTGTGTCAGAGTCTTACACTTGCTGTTCCCATGCCTGGAAAACAACTCTTCCATATATACATGTACCTTGCTTCCCAGCTTTCTCCAAGTCTTTACTAAAATGTCATCTTATTAAATAAAAGAGACCTTTTCTTACCACTATATATAAAAATAGCAAATCTCTCCTCTCTCTTCCATCTCCAGTCTCTTTTTATTCTTTTTTTGAGAGACAGTCTCACTCTGCTGCCGGGGCTAGAGTCCTGTGGTATCAGCCTAGCTCACAGCATCCTCAAACTCCTGGGCTTAAGCAATCCTTCTGCCTCAGCCTTCCGAGTAGCTGGGACTACTGGCATATGCCATCATGCCAGGCAACTTTTTCTACATATTTTTAGTTGTCCAGCTAATTTCTTTTTATTTTTAATAGAGATGGGGTCTTGCTCTTGCTCAGGCTGGTCTCGAACTACTGAGCTCAAACAATCCACCTGCTTCGGCCTCCCAGGGTGCCAGAATTACAGGTGTGAGCCACTGAGCCCCGCCTCCAGTCTCTTTACATTGCATTATTTTTCTCCTACAACACTTATCACTATATAGCATATTATTTACTTGATTATTGTTTCCTCTCCCTTTAATAAAATGTAGGCTCCATGAAGGAAGGGACTTCTGTGTTCACTGTGTATCCCCAGCACCTAGAACAGTCCCTGGCACTTAACAGGCAATCAATAAATATTTACTGAATAAATGAACAAACGTCCCACATTAGAATATACATGCCTTGAAGGTTTTCCCTGATTCTTCTTTACACTTTTCACACCACCAACTGTAGTTACTTTCATTTAACAGACCCTTAACAAATATTTTTGAACGAATGAAGTGCAAGGAAATTGAAGTTACTGAGAATACTTGGGATAAGTCTGCAAAGAATGAGGGGCATCAACAATCCAAGCAACTATATATACGGAGAGCACACTGGTTCTAAAATGAAAAAGTGGTTGTGGAAAGGGGAACCAGATCTTTCTCCATCTGCCAACATTTTGGGCTATGTTAGCATTTCTAAAGCATTCGTGAAACAGTTATCAAGATAATAAATAACTCTTTAAACTGGTCGTCTTAATTCACTTTCTGTAATTAAGCAGCTCAGTCGTACATTTCAGGGCTCTTATCCAGGACTGTTTAGGTTCATGCCCTACTCATTTTAATGTTCCCAACAATTCTTGGACATAAGATATTAATCCGCTCACGATTGGCAAAGGAGGTGACGTGGGCTCAGAGGGCAGCGGCCGGTTCAAGGTGGCTTGGTTAATAAGTGTCAGTGCTAGGATTCTAACCCAGGACATCTGGCTTCCGGGGCCACAGAACACCGGCACTCTGGCCTTCAGAGGTGGACTAACTTAAGAGCCGGCTCCGCCTCTGCAGGAGTTGCCTCCCCAAAGGCAGAAATACGATTGCGCAGATTGCCAGAACTGCCCAAGTACTTCTTTGAGGTGCCCGCGGGGTCAGGAGGCTCCGGCATTTATCAGAGAAAGCAGTTTTGCCCACCAATGCCCCGAAAACCCAAGTTTCCTGGTCGTTGGAGTAGCACACCCAGGATTAAGGAAGCGTACGCGAGTAGCGCTCTGCAAACTGCAGACCGCGAGACCAACAGAAACGCAGAGGAAGCTTTGGAAACAATACCTGAATGAGGCGGGGGACGGATAACTTGCCGACAATGGCACAGGTCGATATTCGGGGGCGGGCCGAGATGCCCGAGAGGGGCTCCAGTCCTCCCCATGGAGCCGGCGGCGCCTCGAGTGTCCGTTTCCAGGGGGCAGGAGTCCGACAGAGCCCACACCGGACCCGCGCCCAGACCCCTCTCAGCCGCGGCGCGGGGCGCCTTCACCCGACGCCCCTCACGACCCACCCAGCCCGCTGCGTCGCGTGCCCGTCCGGAGCGCCCCACGTCCCGCCCGCCCTCGAGCTCCTCTCGGCTGCCGCCCGCTCGCCGCAGCCGGCCCGCCGTCCGCTCACCTGCGCACCCGGCGTCCTCCTCTTCCTCCCTCCGGAGGCGACTGAAGCGGATCCGCGGCGCCGCCTCCTCCCTCCCAGCCGGGGCCAGCCCCTCGGAGCCGGAACTGCTCGCGTCCCGGCGCTTCTCCCCGCCTCCCTCGGCCCCCAGTGTGGCGTCACTTCCGGCGGCGCCAGGCCGCGCGCAGGGAGTCTGGTTCTCGCGAACGCGCCGGGAGCGTAGCGTCCCCAGAGTCGGGAGCGCGCCCCGCGGATGACAACAAGTTCGTCGCACGGCAGCGGTGGCGGTGTCTGCCTCTGCCTGAGCCCCTGCCGCCCCCCGTCGCGCTCCCTTGCACCCTCTCTCTGTGCCGACTAGGACCCCCTCGGACGCGCCGGGCCTCGGGCAACGGGGACCCCTCCGCGCCTCGACCCCGCCAGGCCTCGCGCGAGCGGCGCGGCGCGGGCGATGGGGTCGCCCTGAGGGACGCCTGCCGCTGAGCGGACATGGAGGGGACGCCCCGGGCTTAGGCCCCGCCGCGGCCTGGGGACACCGGCTGGGACCCGAGGCGCAGTCGCCGCGGCCTGGAGCCGGAGCCTCGGCCGCGAGGCCGGAGCCGCAGCCGCCCGCAGCTCTAGCCAGCCCAGCTGCCAGCCCCCACCATGCCGTGGCCGTTTTCGGAGTCTATCAAGAAGAGGGCCTGTCGGTACCTCCTGCAGAGGTACTTGGGCCACTTCCTGCAGGAGAAGCTGAGCCTGGAGCAGCTCAGCCTGGACCTGTACCAGGGCACCGGGTCCCTCGCCCAGGTCCCCTTGGACAAATGGGTAAGAGCTGCCGGCGGCGAGCCGGGCGACAGTCGCTCCCCTCCTCAGGGCGATTCGAACGCGTGCCATCCAAAACTGGTGATGTTGACCCCCTCCCCGGGGAGTGTTTGGATCCAAGGCAGGTGGCAGGGCACAGAGAAACGTGTTAGAGTGTTGTTTAATCTGTTGGTAGCGAGTTTGCTCCCTCAAATCACGTGTTCCAGAAACTTAACAGATGTAATAGAGTCTACATTATGGAAATAATTGAGTCATTGCTTCGGGGTCTATAGAAGGAGATGACAGTCCTGTCCCTTGCGATGTGAGGGGCCGCAGGGTTCTGTGGCATACAAACCCTATTTCATGTGATGACATTCCGGAAAGATTTAAGGATGCAGACGGCCTTTGGGATGTCAGAATCCCTGGTTAATTGTTTTGGGTTGGCTACCTGCACACCGCTTTTGCCTTTTCTCCATACCGCGTTTGCCATCTGGAAGAAAGTTAGGTGAAGGCCTCCTTGGCCGGTTGGTCCGCTTTTGCTTGATTATATGATTACAAGGGCAGTTCGTGTACCCAGCCTGTGGTTGTGTGGCACTAGTAGTGCTGTTTGGTTGTGCCTCTTTGCTTCACGTGACAGATCGTAAAAGCAGGTGTTGCAAAAGCGCTGAAGCTGCAATTTTCAGACATTTTAAAACCTGCTTTGTACTTGTTCAGCGTCTGTGAGTTGACTTGTTTGTCTTACAGGTGTTTCATGTGTATTTCAACTCACCACATGCAGTTGTACCTGCATGTGTGTATTCAATGTGTAGTATTTTTCTTCAAGTGATTCAGCCTTGGGTTTGACAAGAAGGGAGTGGCTTCTCCTATTTGCCCAGCCCCTACTTCCTTAGCCACAGAAAAGTTTAAATTATGATAACACCTTATTATGACTCTTAATTTGTACTAGAAAGTATGAATAAGTGTATAGTTTTATCACTAATTAGATGACTTAAACTAGGGAGAGTACACAAGATAGTGGAAAGACACAGTCTCTCACCAGGGTAGTCCAGGCTGCCACAATTAACCACATTATGTTGGACATAATAATTCACCTGATTTCAGTAAACAGTAATGGAATGTACACTTCATGCCAGGTACTTTATCAGGGTATTGTATTGCTGTAATTCTTACCAGAAGATAGGGATTCTGATGGATATTTTGAAATTCAGCAACCTATGATTCCATACTTTTGGTACAGTTATTAATAGATTATCTTGAAGGAGAAGGGTTGGGCATTTATTAAATGGCTTTGTGGGTGGAGGGACTTTTTAATGTTTTTAAATGACTTCATTAACTATAAGGTGGGCATTATTATGTCCATTTTACATATGGAGTTAAGTAATTTACCCCAAGTCACACATCTAGCAGTTGGTTAGTGAGAGTTCAAACCTATCTAATTCCCCAGGCTGTGCTTTCTTTACTACATCACATGGTCTCAGATCAAGAGAAAGGTAGTTAATGTTTATTGAGCATCTATTTATGTCAGACACTATGCTAGGCCCTTTTATTTGTGTGGCAGTTTTATTTTATTTTTTAAATTTTTTTATTTTTTTGAGATAGAGTCTCACTTTGTTGCTCAGGCTAGAGTGAGTGCCATGGCGTCAGCCTAGCTCACAGCAACCTCAATCTCCTGGGCTCAAGCAATCCTACTGCCTCAGCCTCCCTAGTAGCTGGGACTACAGGCATGCGCCACCATGCCCGGCTAAGTTTTTCTATATATATATTTTTAGTTGGTCAATTAGTTTCTTTCTATTTATAGTAGAGACGTGGGGTCTCGCTCAGGCTGGTTTCGAACTCCTGACCTTCAGCAATCCACCCGCCTCGGCCTCCCAGAGTGCGAGGGTTACAGGCGTGAGCCACCGCGCCTGGCCTGTGTGGCAGTTTTATTTAGTACTCATGGGAAATCAAAGGTAGTGATATTTGAATTTTATAGTTTGACTTTAGTATTGTTGGCAAAATAATTTAGGACTAGACTTAATCTGAGGATTATGTTTTGTTCTCCTGGAGTGTAAACGTTTTGTCAACTAAAATGCTATTGTGAAAGCATCCAGTAAACATTTGCTGTTGCTGATTTGGTTGTTTATTTTAGTATGCTGTGTTGATTAGTAAGATAAGTGTTGATGTGACCCTTAGATATAATTATTCAAAGTTCTGATTCCAGATTCAGTTACTTTTGATAGTGATTTTAATGACTTTCATGATTGAAAAAAGATACCTACAATGGAAGAATTGCGTCATTGGCCATATTACTAATGTTTCAATTCTTAACTATCAGTTATGCCAAGGATTTTATTGAAATTGGTAAAGGCCTTCCTTTCTTCCCTGATCTTAATTAGTTATTCTGTTATTCTTGCTAATTAATTGGAAGATGTTGTGTACACACACATGTATGTAAAAACCGGGTTTAAAATCCAGTTTTTCAAACTCACTGTTCAGAAGACTGTAAGGTTTTTCGGTAGTGTCCAAAAGACAAGACAGACAGAGAGAGAAAGTGGGGCCAAACCACGTGGCTTTATTTATTGCTCCCAGATGAGGTTCTGGGGCCCCAAGAGAGGGGGGGGGGTCCCAGAAGTCACCTCTGTTTGAAGGGGATGTGGCCTTTGGGCCAGGCTAGGGATTTTTGGCAGGAAGAGCTGGGGTGACCTTTGGTGGTCATTGAGAAATAGGAGGGGCTGGCGGTATTTTCGGAATCCAGGAGCCAAAACTTTCTTATTCAGGTGGACATCTGGGTGTGGTTCCTCTCTGCAGGGCCTGGCAGTTTTGTCCTTGGTGGGTCTGGTCTCATGAGCCTTTTCTTTTTTGATCTAGGGAGAGGAGGGGGCCCCGCCACCAGCCTTACAAAGACATTTAGATTGGTTGAAGTAATCTATGTTTTCACATCTTTTGTAACCTGTGTATATAATCACTTAAAAAATAGACGGTGTCTTTAATAGACATTTTCAGCAACAAAATTATGGAACAATGGAAACATTTCCAAACAGATAGTTTTAAAAAATACTCTCTCCATAGTACAAGTATCCTTGAAAAACAGTTGCTTTCTTTCTCATTATTAAAGTGTTATCTCTATTTTGAAAAGACAGATTAAATGTGTTTTTGTTTTTTGGAAAATATCTGCTAGGCAGTGTGCACTACTCTTAGTCATTTATCATAACATAAATGGTTGACATATTTGGAACTCTGTAAAAGGAAGTTGCTTTTCTTTAAATTCAACTCTTAAATACTTGGCTATAAAACAAGGAAACCAGACAGTTATTGCCATTTACTATTTCTTTACAAAGCTTCCACTGTTTAAAGGTCTGTTTATTATGTAGAATGTATGCAAAAGTAAATTTCAATGTGCTAAAATGGAACATCCAACTGAGGGCATTGCTTTTAATTTTTCTCCATTATGGAACTACAGTCTTCTCTTTGTACCAGTTTGATATAGACTGGCCTGAATAAGGTGCACATTTGTATATTAAATGTTAGTACAAGCTTCTAATTTAAAATTTGAAAATTTTAATATAGAATCTCTAATTTTCTTTTCATGTCCCTGTGAATCATCTGATATACTCTTGGATATATATACACCCCACTTTGGAGATCACTACCTTAAAAGGGGCTTGAAGTGGAAGGAGGAATGGAGGCAAGGGATTTGGAACTATTCCATAGTTGGAATGGGCTGTCTTAAAGTTTCATGAGTTCCTTGTCCCTAGAAGTGGTTGAAATTGCAAAATGTTCAAAGAAGGAAATTCTCTTTGGCTAGGAATTTGGATTTAATGAGTCACTCCTTTCTAGCTCTTTAAGACTGTGACTTTATTTTTATTTTTTAAATGGAATTTCTTTCATTAATTGATTCAATACATGTATTGAACTCTTAGCATATGCCACTGTGAGGGTGTCAATGGAAAAAAAGCCAAAGTCTGCAAAATAATTTTAAAGATATTTATTCTGAGCCAAATTTGAGGACCATGACCGGGAGCCACTGCCAAGAGGCCTTGGGCAAGTGGACTCCCTGTGGCTGGGTTATGGTTTGGTTTTTATACGTTTTAGAGACAAGGGTTATGGGTAAAGCCATCAATCAATGTGTGGGAGGCATACATTGGTTTGGCCCAAAAAGGAGGGCCATCTCGAGGGGCGAGGGGGCTTACAGGTTATAGGTGGGTTTAAAGATTCTTTAGATTGTAATTGGCTAAAGACATGAAGCTTTGTCTAAAGACCTGGAATGTTTTAACATAAACTGTTTACCAGACATAAGCCACCATTTGTTGCAAATTGAGGGCCTACAGGTTTGTCTTGCATACCATTAGGCCTGTTAATAGGTTACAAAGGAAGTCTCCAAGAAGGGAGGGGGGCATGATAAGGCATGTCTGACCTCCCTCCTCCCGGCAGGCAGCTTTGCCCTAGAATATTCCTTTGGCCACGAGGGGGTCCATTCAGTCAGCTGGTTGGGGTGGGTAAGCATTTTAGTTCACAAGGGGCTGGAGGTTATAGCAGTGAACTAAACAAATACTCTTTCCTCACAGGAGCTCAGTATGTCCAGGAAGGTAGACATTAACAATTTATTACACTGAGGCCTTTTAACTTTAATATATGTTTTTGATTGTTATTTATACTTTATTAGTATATATAATAAAATTGTCTTCAGTTCAAGAAACACTGATTACTAATTATTTGTCAAATGCTACATAGAGACTAGTGTATTACCTTCTTTTTTTTTTTTTGCTTATATGCATGAAACTCATTGATGATAAATAAAAGCAAAATGGCTTTAAACAGAAGAATAAAAATTCTAAGGGACCCTACAGTAGGGCATTTATTTGTTGAGTGGTTCACTTTAACCACTCAACAGTGTATCAGTGAAACACATGGATATACTTCAAAGGACTAGTGAGGAAAATGTTGCCTGAGTAGATAATAGGGAATCAGTTTGGCCAAGTAGGTTGAGAATTTTGTCCTATATATATATTGTAGTAGACTTTGGATTTTCACAGAATGAATGAATT